AAAAAAAAAAAAAAAAAAAAAAAAAAAAAAAAAAAAAAAAAAAAAAGTTTCAAACTCAATTAACTGTAGAAAATGTACCAGGGTGATAATTATATAATGATGCCTCTGGAGCGACAGATAAGAATTGAATCTTAGTTCTTAGATATTAATGGAGTTAGAAGCCTAGGTATATGGTAATGAAAGGAAGGGAAAAACCAAACCTATGATATACTTTTCTTCTCACCTATCCTTATGTTGTCTTTCTATTGTATGCTCTCCCTGGGATTGAATAAAAGAAGGACATATAAATATAAGAAAGAGATTATAAAATGAGTTTATCTCAGTCATCCACAAAATCTATAGTAGTGAACACGACAAGAAGGTGGAGAAAAGAAATGGAGTTCCAATATTGTCACAATGGAGGAAGAAACATGCCCGCGACACTACTCATCTGCTAAGAATAAACATATGTTAGATAAACTTAATTCACAGTTTACTTTCATTAATGCTTTGCCAAACTGTTATATGACTAAGCTATTACAACTTGGTTATTTACATTTAGTTGTAGCTTTATTTTAAAAATCACATTGTATACTAAAATATTAAAAATTACCTGAAGGGAGTTGATTCAGTAAAGGAAAGTATATGTTTTTAGAAAAGCTTGAACCAGCCCTATGTATTCTATAAATTGCTTTTGAAGGTGCAGTCACATAGGGTGAAGGTGAAGTCACATAGGGCGAAGGTGCGGTTGCATAGGGTGAAGAGTACTCATAAGTTTCCGCTAGAAAAATTTAGAAAATATGTTAGCTGTACAATAGCTGACATCTGTAATTATTTTTAATACACAGTATGCACACAACATCAAAGCATCTACATATATAAAGCAAACATTAAAAAACCTGAAAGGATACATAGACTGCAACAAAATAATGGCAGGGGATTTCAATATCCCCTACTGTTGAATAGGTCATCTAGATGGAAAATAAATAAACACTGACTTGAATTACACATAAGATAAAGCATATTTATCAGACAATTACACAATGTTCTAGCAAATAGTAACAGCATACACATTCTTCTCAAGTGTATATAGAACATTCTCCAGAATAGATCATACATTAGGCCACAAAGAGGTCTTAACAATGTAAGATGAAAATTAAATCAAATATCTTTCCTGACCACAATGGTATAAAACTAGATATTAGTAGAACATAAAGAAACTTAATAGATCTTTGAAACATTAAACAATATGTTCCTGACGAACTATTGCATCAAAGAGGAAATTAAAATATATCTACAGACAAAAGAAAATAAAACATAACATATAAAAACTTACAGGATGCAGCAAAAGTAGTCCTAAGAGGAAAGCTTATAACATTAAATGTCTACGCCATAAAATAAGCATCAAATAAACAACCTAAAATTACACTTCAAAGAAGTAGTAAAAGCAGAATCAAGCATAAAGCTACCAGAAGAAAGAAAATAAAAATCAGAGCAGAAAGAAATAAAATAGAGACTAGAAATGATCAGTTCCGTTTGTCCCAGTCTGCATTCCATTCCTCCAACATCCTGGTTCATTTATTTTTTCATGTGTTTTTTACTGAGAAAATTATAATGCTATTGAATGGTGAAATAGGTGACCTTATTGTATGGATTATTGACTGCCATATTTGCCTTTGTTATTTCCCCCTTTTTGTTAATGGGAGTGTCTTCTGTGGTCTGCCCCTGTCTCACCACTGTTACATTGTGTGTGTGTGCACGTGTATGTGTGTTGTGAGAGACAAGTAACATTTTTAAAAAACTCTGTATCAAAAGAAGCCATATCATAGAAGCTGCCTCTGAAAATGATTATATATCACAATATAATGGTCTTTGGCACTGATGCCAAAATTAGATAAGAATTTGCGGAGTCCTGGGAAGAGCTGATTCTATTTTGCATGTGGGAGAGCCATGAATATTCTCAATCATTAGGAACACTGTGGTGGATTGATTTCAGTGATGGTCTCTGTGTTCTTGCTGATTTATATCAATGTTCTTCCATACTAACTCTGGTGCTAGTTATTGGTGAACACGACAAAAGTAAATGAATGTGAGCAGAGACTGCAAAACTGCTTATACATTCAGTCCTGTTTGAATTCTGCTCTTAGAACTTGAAGACTCCTAGCTAGTTGGCTGGATGCTGAGAAACATGCAGGCAAGTTTACCTCCTGGGCCAAGTATAGCCCCCAAACCACCCTTCTACACTCTGATTTATGATACTGGATCTGGGATTCTACAGATCACATTTTTGCTTTGCAAAGTAGCTCCATGTTAGGCCATGAAATAGGGGGTGCTAAACAGAGGAAGACTGTAAATTTAGAGGAAAAAAGATCTGTTTTTCTCATTTTGTTCCTGGTGGGCTTTGAGAGGTTCCTGCCTCTTTTCAGTTTCTGTGAAGAACATCCCAGTATTGTTTCCTTATCCCAGAAGTAGCAATTCCTCCCATGGCAACAAACAGTTTGCATTTTTTCCCCAGCATCTGCAGAGCGTTTTATTATTCCTCCCCGCTTAGAAACTAGCAGTAGCTGGCCAGTGCCCCCACTTCAGAAGTATGGATCCAAGGTCCTGCCTGAAGAAACAGGAACTCTAGCACTATTCAATCTATACTCTACACAGAGTTCTCCTTCAGTTCTGGGTATGCCAACTTTTTTCTGTAATTGCTTCCTCCAGGTAACCTTAGAATTCTTTGTATACTTTCAGTTACCAAGTTAACAACTTTATACTTAGTCATCTACTTTTTACATTCTTGCTTTCTTTTTGAACAGCCAGTGAAGTTTCTCTTTACTGAACAGGCCCACTCTGTATAGTATTGTCTCAAACAACAGCCAGCCAATTTCTATACATGTGGGCAAATTGATAATTTGACCAAAAATGCGTTAAGTTTGCCCAGCCAAGATGATCATCAGTTATCTTAGTGGTTACTGTTTTATGCTTTAAAACTTAAAGTTTTAGGGTGGATATGGAGTAGTAAAACACTAACAAATATGGAAATAAAAATTAAAATAAGAATCAGATATAATTTAGTAAATTTCAGATGGGTATAAATGAAAAAACAAAAAAAAACCAGCAACCCATATTGCAGATAGTTATGCAGAGAAAAGCATTTCCCTTCAAGATTGCTCATGAAAATGTTAATTTTAATAGCCCTTTAGGAAAGCAATCTGGAAATATCATTTAACATTAAAAATTCATGTGTACTTTAATAAGAAATCTCAATCCTAAAAAATCAATGCTCTTTAATAGAATGATTGAATAAAGTATTCTTATTATGAAGTATCATCCTGCCAATAAAAAGAATGAATTAAAACCATTTTATTTTTAGGCTTGTAAGAATTTTCCTAAGGAATTGCTGAATAAAAAAAGTAAGATGCAAAAAGGATAAATGAAAAAGCATACTTTAAAACTGTTGTAGGTAATTAGAAACTGAATTCATATCTTCATACATAATACTTTACCTTTATTTTCAAAGGGTGATAAATTGATCACTTTTGTTGGGAATTTACTTGGTGTAATTCTCCTAGCAAAGATACCTTCTTGACGTTGTATGGACATATCTTTATGTTTAAATACGTTCACATCTAAAATAAAAATTTAAAAGGAACAGTGCATGAATACTCTTGACTATTTACACACTTGTCCCCAACTCCATGTATCTCTCTTTATTTCTGCATTGGTAATTTTTCTTCCAACATTTTATTAAATGGCAACTTGTCTATTACTTAAATTTCTGTGCAGTCTCTCATCATTGTCTTTGTTTTTCATTCTGTGATAGTATCTTCCTTAATTTCAACGTTTATCCCAACTTCATTTTACTTTGACAAAAGGTTCATTTCTATAATAGATCTGTAGTCTATATTTAAAAGGAAACATTTAGGATGACAGTTTTGGAGATTGGAGGTCTACATGTAAGCCACTGGATCCCCTCACCCCAATTCAAATGTTTATTCGATTTATTTTTCATAAATCCTATTGTTATAAAGTAACATGTATTATGGAAAACATTTATTGAAACAGAGAATTATAAACCTACTTTTAAAATCATTGTCTAGAGGTTTTAAAACTCTCTAGCTAATTTCCCATTGATAATATGAGAGTTTAACTTAATTACAAGAGGAAATTCATGAAGACATTTGCCCATGAAATATTAACATGTAGGTACTGTTGTCATTAAAGATTCATACTTAAGCCCCAGAGAATATAACTAAACTGTAAATATTAGACTTAAAATTATTATTCTTACCATAGTGAGTCCTTGGTTGTGTCTTTGTCTCACCAGTTGTTTTACTTGAACCAATAGCATTTGTCAAGGGTTCTATATCAGTCTCTATAGACATAAAACAGGTTTCAAAACACTTTGTAAGGGAACCACTTATGTTAGATATGTTTTTAGTTCTTTTTTCTTTTGCAATTTCTTTTTCTTTTCTTTGTTTTTAGAGACAGGGTCTCGTTCTGTCACTCAGGCTGGAGTGCAGTGGTGCAAACATGGCTCACTGCAGCTTCAACCTCCTGGACTTAAGTGATTCTCCAGCCTCAGCCCCTCCAAGTAGCTGAGACTATAGGCATGTACCACCACGCCTGGGTAATTTTTGTATTTTTGTAGAGTCAGGGTTTTGCTGTGTTGTCTTTTGAAATTTCTATCTTATTTGCTGATATTTGTATTACCTTCCTTTTCTTCCTTAAGAATAATTTCCTTTAATTCTAAGAACACACTTATACTAAGTGTTTTGAGGTTTTTTTGGCTAAATCGAACAGTTGGGACTCACAAACAGTTATTGTGGCATTCCCTTTTCCTTGGTGTAGGTCACACTTCACTATTTCTTTGCACATTAATAATTTTGCAGAAGATTTGACAGTTTCCATAGTATATTGTAACATCTCCAGATACTGATTTCCTCCTCCTTTATCTGGGGCTTGTCACTGTTCTCTCCTTATTTATTTGCATCGCCATGTGACTGGGCTATTGTACTAAAGTCTCTTGCCTGTAGTGTGAAGTGCTACTGCTGCTCTCCAAGGGGCAGAGCCTTGAACATGTATCCAGTACCTTGGATTTAAAGGGCCATCTTTGAATGTGTCTCTTTACCTTATTTATCTGTTAAGCTGTCTGCCTCTTTCTGCATCATACTGGAGATCAAAGATAATTATATAACTATGTAACATGCTTGCACCAAGATGCAAGCCAGTAGTACAATCTCTGAATTATGTAACGCAAATAAAATACTGTATTGCAGGTGAGATTTTATAGATTTGCCTGACATTTTCATCAAATAGAGGGAATGGATAACCAGTGAAATAATTATCTGTTACACTCCTCTTGTCATCGCAGCCTTTCTGCTTTTGCGAATTAAATATAACTTTCCAGAAACAAAAAGTAAGTAGAATAGCTTTAGAAATGCCTACACTGAGGCTACTCTAAGGCCACTGTAACACTGAATTTTTATGGATTACTTTTCAAATGGATGAGTTTTAATACCAATAATATATTGCTAATGTTCCACTGATAGTATATACTAGATCTTAATTAAAGGATATTCGTGATGATTTTTTCCTATGTAACACTAACATGTAGGCAGTATTGTCATTAAAGTTCTATACTTAATTTAACTCAGGGAACAAATAAAGGTCACAAATATTAGACTCAAAAATTCTTTTTCTTACCCTGGTAACTCTTTAATTGTGTATTGATTGGTCCCTTTATTATATCTCTTCCAATAGCATCTTTTAAGAGTCCTTTATCAGTCTCTATAGAAATTAAACAGATTTCAAAATAATTTATAAGGTAAACATTACCATACATGTGCATATGTGTGTGTTTAACTAATTATAGAAAGATATTCATGAAGAATTTTACCAATGTAATACTATGATATAGGTACCTATGTAATAATAACATGTAGAAACTGTTGTCATTAAAGGTCTCTATTTAATTTAACTCAGGGAACATAAATAGGTTACAAATACTAGACTCAAAAATTATTTTTCTTACCCTGATGACTTTTTAATTGTGCATTGATGGTCCCTTTATGATATCTCTTCCAATAACATTATTGCTATGGAAAGCACTATGATACAGGTTCTGTTATCATTAAAGGTCTATACTTAATTTAACTCAGGGAATATACATAAGCCTAAATATTAGACTTGAAAAATTCTTTCTCTTACCTGGGTGAGTCTTTAGTTGTGTAATGATTGGCCCTAGTATTATACCTCTTCCAATATTATCTGCCAAGAATTCCTTATAGGTCTCTATTGAAATAAAGCAGATTTAAATATATTTTATAAGGTAAACGTTAGCATACCTTTCTCTGTGTGTGTGTGTGTGTGTGTGTGTGTGTGTGTGTGTTTAATTGTGGGAGGATATTCATGAAGAATTTTACCTGTGTAATACTAACATATAGTTACTATTGCCATTAAATGTACATACAATTTAACTCCAGGAATATAAATAAACCATAACCGTTAGTCTTGAAATTGTTTTTTATTACCTGGGTGACTTTTTAATTGTGCCTTCATTGACTCCTTCCTTATACTTCTTCCAATAGCGTATGAAAAGAAGTTCTTATCAATATCTATAAAAATAAAACAGATTTTAATATCATTACCATACTCGTGTGTTTGTGTGTTTAATTATAAAAAGATATTCATAATTTTACCTATGTAACACTTTAATATAGCTACTTTTGTCATTAAAGGTCTATACTTAATTTAACTCAGGGAATATAAATGAGCCATAAATATTAGATGTGAAAAATTCTGTTCCTTACCCTGGTGAGCCCTTAGTTGTACATTGACTGATCCTTTTATTATACCTCTTCCAATAGCATCTGTCAAGTGTTCCTTAGCAGGCTCTATAGAAATAAAACAGATATCAATATATTTTATAAGGTAAACATTACCATATCTCTGCGTGTGTGTGTGTGTTTAATTACAGGAGGATGTTCACTTAGAATTTTACCCATGTCATACTAACATATTGGTACTATTGTCATTAAAGCTTTACGCTTACCTCCAGGAATATAAATAAACCATAAATATTCGTCTTGAATTGTTTTTTTACCTGGGTGACTTTTAAATTGTGTTTTAATTGACCTCTTTATTATCCCTCTTCTAATAGCTCTGCCAAGAGTTCCTTACTAGTTGCTATAGAAATAAAGCAGATTTCAATATATTTTATAAGGTAAATATTTCGTGTGTGTGTGTTGTGTGTGCATGTGTAATACTAGTAATGAGTTTATTATAGTAGAAGAGGCACAATATAATGTCTGATTGCAGTATCAGACATTATATTGCATCACAAAGCAGAATTTGAAGGGCTACTGGCAATCATTTAAACCTATTATATTGAAGTTCCAAGATGTTTCATGATTTGAACATGACCACATCAAGATAATGACAAGCACAAACTGACACTTTATAATTGACTTTACTATATAATGACATCTCTTATGCAAACTAAAATTATCCTAGAAAGTTTATGGTGTAATAGAACTTTAAATTTTACACCAATAGCACTATCTACTGTGGGATATACCTGGTAAGATAAAACACATAATTTTAAAAAATAGTTCAATTTGCAAACCATGGTCTCTACAGTCACAGAGAGAGTTATTTTGGGGCAAAATTCTTTGATTTGTTAAAAAAGACTTCATGTAATTTCTAAGATTTGTAACTGTAAATCAAGTATGTATCAATAATGTAAAAAAATAATTAGATATTTTGTGGAATGTGAAAATGTGACTTTCATATCTTCTTAAGTTTGTAGACTTTGTAGCTGGAGAGGATGAAGCAAGTAAACTTGTAGTAATATCAACGTTGAGATTGCATGACTTCACAATGGAGTTTTCATGTGATTTGAATTTTTTGCTGGATTTGAAAACTACTGACTAGGTCATATAACAGGAAAATTACATGAAAGTTATGAAAGGAGAGTTAATGCTGAAAACGGACAATTAGGATGGGTGATTTGGGTCAACTAAACGACCTAATATTTTGTGAGAGAAAGTTGTTTATGGGAGACTATGTAACTAAAGTTGGAAACCTATAATGACCCAGGTACCATAGAGTGGAAGTTTTGCTCTGAAGAAATGGCTGAGCTCTTGAAAATGTTAAGTATTACAGTGTAACTTTTGAAGCCCAAATATACCACCAGTGAAATCCTAACCAAAGTATGGACCAGTAGAGGCATCATTACCAAAACGAGCCAAGACACATAAGAACATATTTTCTATAAGTACACAGCTATATTTTGTGAACATAAACAGATCTATAGAAACATAAAAATAGGGAATATGAGCAGTCATATTTTAACCTCTCTGATTATCAGTCCAACTAGTACACATAAGAAGGAATGGTTCATTTCAAGTCAGTATGCGAAGACTCTTAGATAAACAGGGAGGCAACAAGAAGACCATTTTAGGGGAGGTAAGGTTAAGCGTTTAGGAAGAGAATCTATGTGCTAAAGTAAGTTACAATCTAGTAACATTCATAAATTTCCTCCCTCACAGTATCCTCTCATTGCTTTAATTCTTTTAAAATATGATTCTGCCTGGAATGCACTGAGATATTTTTACAAAATAACAAACATAACCTGTGATATGCCTATGTAAAATACTCAATGGTTTTAAAGATGTTCACATATTTGTGTAGCTCTGAATAGCCAATTTTAGTTTCTACTTGAGTTTATACTAATCAAATTCCAGTGAGATACAGAAATATTACACCCATATAACATTATTCCCTCTTCAACATTTTTGTGCTACTATTATGTGTATTGCAACTATATACATTAAATACATTGTTATAATTATTTATATAATACTGTGCCTTTTAATTAAGCTAAGAAATAAAAGCAAGTACATATAGTGTTTACCATACTAACAAATACAAATAAATATATATATTTGCATTTATTCCTGTGGATTTGAGTTGCTATCCAGTGTTATTTTATTGTATTTTTGTACATTTTGTCCTTTGTTATGTCTCTTTTGCAAATATTTTCTCCCCCCACCTGTGGCTTGCCTTTTCATTCTCTTGACAGTGTCTCTTGCAGAGCAGAAATTTACAAGTTTCATGTAGTCCAGTTTTATCTTTTATGGACAGTGCCTTTGGTGTCACATCTAAAACGTCATCACCAAACCCAAGGTCATCTAGATTTTCTCCTAGGAGTATTATAGTTTTGTATTTATGTGTGTATTCTATTTTAAGTTAATTTTTATGTAGAGTATAAGGCGTGTGTGTGTGGACTTTTTCTCCTGTGGATGGTTCTGGCACTATTTGTTGAAAAGACTATCTTTTAGCTTTTAAAGGAAAATCGAAAATAGATATTGTTAGGTACTTGGGATAAATGAGTTACTGAAGTGAAGATTTAGATTTGTCCCAGAGTCTCCTAGCAGCCTGGGCAAAAGAGAAATATTTTGGTTGATGCAGTTTTTAAAAGTTTTCATTTTTTTATTTTAGTAGGTTTTTGGGGAACAGGTTGTGTTTGGTTACATGAATAAGTTCTTTACTGCTGACCTGTGAGATTTTGGGGCACCCATCACCTGAGCAGTGCACACTGCACCTAATGTGTAGTCGTGTATCCCTTGCCACCCCCTACAATTTCCTCCAAGTCCCCAAAGTCCAACATATCATTCTTATGCCTTTGTGTCCTCATAGCTTAGCTCCCACATGAGTGAGAACATACAATGTTTGGCTTTCCATTCCTGAATTACTTCACTTAGAATAATAGTCTCCAATTACATTCAGGTTGCTGTGAATGCCATTTTTTTTTCTTTTGCTTTTACTTTAAGTTCTGGGGTACATGTGCAGATCTTGCAGGATTGTTACATAGATATACACATGCCATAGTGGTTTGCTGCCTCCATCCCCCCATCACCTACATTAGGTATTTCTCCTAAAGTTATTCCTCTTCAACCTCCCCACCCCCTGCGATCCCTCTTCAACACCCCCCACCCTCAAACACACCTCAGTGTGTGATGTTCCCCTCCCTGCGTCCATGTGTTCTCATTGTTCAACACCCACCTATGAGTGAGAACATGCAGTGTTTGGTTTTCTGCTCTTGTGTTTGCTGAGAATGATGGTTTCCAGATTCATCCAGGTCCCTGCAAGGAACATCAACTCATCCTTTTTAATGGCTGAAAAGTATTCCATGGTGTCTATATGCCACATTTTCTTCATCCAGTCTATCATTAATGGGCATTTGGGTTGGTTCCAAGTCTTTGCTATTGTAAACAGTGCCTCAATGAACATATGTGTGTGCATGTGTCTTTATAAGAGAACAATTTATAATCCTTTGGGTATATACCCAGTAATGTGATTGCTGGGTCAAATGGTATTTCTAGTTCTAGATCCTTGAGGAATCGCCACACTGTCTTTCACAATGGTTGAACTAATTTATACTCCCAACAACAGTGTAAAAGTGTTTCTTTTTCACCACATCCTCTCCAGCATCTGTTGTCTCCAGATTTTTTAATGGTTGCCATTCTAACTGGCAAGAGATGGTATCTCAATGTGGTTTTGATTTGCATTTCTCTAATGAGCAGTGATGATGAGCATATTTTCATATGTTTGTTGGCTGCAGAAATGTCTTCTTTTGAAAGTGTTTGTTCATATCTTTCACCAATTTTTTGATGGGGTTGTTTGCTTTTTTTCTTGTGTATTTGTTTTAGTTCTTTGTAGATTCTGGATATTAGCCCTTTGTCAGATGAGTAGCTTGCAAAAAATTTTTCCCATTCTGTTGGTTACTGATTCACTCTAATGATTGTTTCTTTTGCTGTGCAGAAGCTCTTAATTGATCCCATTTGTCTATTTTGGCTTTTGTTGCCATTGTTTTTGGTGTTTCAGTCATGAAGTCCTTGCCTATGCCTATGTCCTGAATGGTGTTGCCTAGGTTTTCTTCTATGGTTTTTATGGTGTTAGGTCTCATGTTTAAATCTTTAATCTATCTGGAGTTAATTTTTTTATAAGGTGTAAGGAAGGAATCCAGTTTCAGCTTTCTGCACATGGCTAGCCAGTTGTCCCAACACCATTTATTAAACAGGGAATCCTTTCCCCATTGCTTTTGTCTGGCTTGTCAAAGATCAGATGGCTGTAGTTGTGTGGCATTACTTCTGAGGCCTCTGTTTTGTTTCATTGGTCTATATCTCTGTTTTGGTACCAGTACCATGCTGTTATGATTACTGTAGCCTTGTAGAGTAGTTTGAAGTCAGGTAGCATGATGCCTCCAGCTTTGCTCTTTTTGCTTAGGATTGTCTTGGCTCTATGGGCTCTTTTTTGGTTCAATATGAAGTTTAAGGTGTTTTTTTCCAGTTCTGTGAAGAAGGTCAATGGTAATTTGATGGAGATAGCATGAATCTATAAATTACTTTGGGCAGTATGGCCATTTCCACAATATTCATTCTTCCTAATCTTGAACATGGAATGTTTTTCCATCTGTTGGTATCCTCTCTTATTTCCTTGAGCAGTGGTTTGTAGTTTTCCTTGAAGATGTCCTTCAGGCCCTTTGTTAGTTGTATTCCTAGGTATTTAATTCTCTTTGTAGCAATTGTGAGTGGTTTGGTTTGCTCATGATTTGGCTCTCTGTTTGTCTGTTATTGGTGTATAGGAATGCTTATAATTTTTGCACATTGATTTTGTATCCGAGACATTGCTGAAGTTGCTTATCATTTTAAGGAGATTCTGGACTGAGACTATGCGGTCTTCTAAATATACAATCACATTGTCTACAAATAGATCAATTTGACTTCCTCCTTTCCTAACTGAATACCCTTTATTTCTTTTTCTTGCCTGATTGCTCTGGCTTGAACTTCTAATACTATATTGAATAGTAGCGGTGAGAGAGGGCACCCTT